CACACACACACACACACACACACACATACACACACATACACACACAGACACACACAGACATACACACACAGACACAGACACAACACACACACACACACACACACACACACACACACAAAAATCCAGTGATACTCTCAAACTTAAGCATGTTCATGTCAACAATTCCATCTAATTACTCCTGATTGGTTTCAACTTCCATGTAACCCAATCCATACACAGTATTTAGTCTGTATGTTTTACAGTAAGATGATACCTATGTTGTAAGATGTCTTTGGCCATTTCTTCTCCTGTCGTCCAGGAGTTTAGAGGACACAGGAAGGACACACCTGAAGGGGGAAAGACATGAAAATAACTTCTGACATAGCTTTTGGCATACAGTAATTAGAGGTACAATTGGGAAATGCTGTGGGGTGTTTTTTCCATCTTATAATGCATTAAGAGCCATTTCAATCAGGTTAGGAAATAATTCCTCAACTGTAACAATTACACAAAGTTGGTAGCAACTTCCCCTTTCTGTCTTTGAAGATTTACACAGACACCAGCAGCAACAAACAGACATAAACACAGCCAGTGAACCAGCGCGAGTATCAGGTGTTGTCTAATCCTCAGTAGACTTGCCAAAAGGCCGGCGGACAGATTAGCTGGATGAGAGGAGGGAATGAGAGAAAGACAGATAACTCTTCTGTGCTGAATAGTGCACACTGACTGATTGACTGGGCTCAGGTAAAAAACACAACAAAAAACACAAAAAGGTGAGGTTAGGTCAACGGGAGGGAGTCAAAGTCAAAGGGAGTGAAAATGTACAATACACATTACATTGATGTTGACACATTTTGCTGTTTTGTGTTTATAATGCTATGCATATGTAAGCATTGTGCAGTGTTGTGGCCTGTGATTTAGATCAGTCATAAAACAAATCTTCTTAAGGAAAAGACACTAAAGGTATTTAGACAAATACAATGCAAATCAAATGCAAATTAAAAAACAGCTCTCTATCTGTTATGTGTGTTTGGGTTACATGTGTTGTGTTTGTGTGTGTGTAGGTATGTGTGTGTGTGTGTGTTTTCTCACCATCGAAGCAATGTATGTGCAGAACAGTGTGAGCTTTCTTGCGATTGGCGGTCCACTCTAGTAGACAGGGTGGGTATGTTCGGACATACTCTGGCCCTACATTCATCCGCTGCAGAGCTTGAAGCAGACGGTGCTGACACACACAGTCGTAGCCCTCCGGCCCATAGTCAGACACAAACCTACAACAACAACAACAAGCACAAAGAGAATGAACTACTGAAATCATGTATAAAGATCACAGGCATGCACAGAAAAGCAAGTAATAAATGTACTGTAAAATTAAATACAGAGATGACCAGTGATGTAAACATATGTCACTGTCTGACCGTGTTTCTTACTTCAGCAAGTACTTGGCCTGCCTTTGCGACGGCAGGAAAGCAGAAAGACAGGAGGAGAGGAGAAGCCAACCACGCTCTGAATTCAAAATGTTAGGATTCCTCCACACCTAATGGATGGGAGAAAATGAAAGTCAAGAGATGAAGTGCAATAACAGTGGAAGATTCAGTGTTATCTGGGCTTTCATTTCTATCCCATCGGCTAGAAAAACGACCTTGGCCTCACCTGATTGGCTACTTGAGCCAGGATCTCATCTCGGAGGCTGGGATTGGCAAGTCCTCTCTGGATGATGTAGTTCCCAAACAGATTCTCCTGAGCCCCATTCAAGTTAGGATCACCCATAAATCTCAGTATCTATGAAAACAAAGACAACAAATACAGACCTTAAATTACACCTATAAAGGTCTTAGCTTTTGACATTATGCTGAGGCTGCTTGCAATACATCGATATATCATACTTGAGAATAGTCAGTGAATCATTATGTTCGCAAATGTTGTAAACACTGTGCACATGTATTTGATGTATATCATGAAAGAAACAGGCTTACAACTTGTAGATTTCACATAAAGGCTCTTCAGAATTCTACTACCAGAGCTTCTAACAGGTTTTAACCCACAAAATAGCTAACCCTTTTTTAAATTGAGTTTGTTAAATCAGCTTGAACTACAGGAGATGTGACATTACACTGTTTAACAACTGACATGATGGTCCTGGATACTGGAGTTTCCCAACAGCATGTAAATGCAACATGTACCAGAATGAAAACGTTCAAGGCTCCTTGTTTTAGCTCCTCATCCATTCGAGTCAGAGAACTCTCCAGCGGGGCTGTCAGCATCCCAAACAACGGTTCCTACAACGCACACACAGACACAAACACACACACACACACACACACACACACACACACACACACACACACAGACCCACAGTGCTTAAGAATGACACAATGACTGTTTACATAGTTGGATGGAGCACTGCAACAATACTTCCCTGGGACCAATGAAGTTGGTCATCAAAACCTAAATCACCAAGGTTGATTTAGGTTTTATTCACATGTTCAAAGAGTTTAACGTGTATATGCTCTTTGATTGTTTGTGTAGGTATGTCTGTGTGTGTGTGTGTGTGTGTGTTTACCCTAAATATGGCCCGGATGTAGTGTGTCATGAGGTAGTTGTTGATATCCAGGGGCAGGGTCAGCTGGGGGTCAACCTGAACCTTTGGGGCCTGGACCACCGCCAAGCAGTCAGAATGCAGCTCTTCACCACCTGTACACACACACACACACACACACACACACACACACACACACACACACACACACACACACACACACACACACACACACACAGCAGCCCATGTGTCATCACAGAAATACGACATTAAATATTGTTGAACCTGCAAACAAGGTGGAACATATCTGTTGATGGAAGCATATTTATAGCACTTACTGACGGCAGATCAGTGTGTAGTTGTGTGTGTGTGTGTGTGTGTGTGTGCGCACACCTGAGGCTGCCTGTAGCAGGGCTGCCAGCTCAGCAGGGATAGGCAGTGTTGTCACATTCACCACTTCTCTATTGATGCGATCCTACATGCATTGAAAATGCATCCAAACACACACACATACACGCTTATATTACACACTAATGCTACATCTTCTTCTTTTCACTCAAAATGAGGCTCACCTCCCTCTCAGACGTTTTCACTTTATTTCATCCTTCACTCACCTCCTCTGCCTTCCTTGCAGGCTCTACCACTGTCTGACAGATAGACAACAGTATCACACTTCACACATTTGTTCATTTCTTATTCATTGTTCAAACACAAATACTGTAAATGTCCCCAGAAGTCTCCCCGTTCACACAGACAAAAACACAGTGTGCATACCCTCATGTAACGCTGGCGGTTGACGATAAGCAGCACGGCGGAGCGGAACCTGATGAGGTACTTCCTCCTCAGAGCAAACTTTTTTCTGTTCAGAAAAAGCAATAACCATGGAAGATAGATAATTCACACAGACAATGATAGAGAGCAGAGAAAAGTTTGAGAAAGAAGTTGAATGAGTTGCATTCGAAGTAAACATTCTGTAACAAGAAAAACACAAATATTCCCCATGAAACATGGCACGACATTTTGCTTTAACCTACGCTTTACAGTTTTTTTTTTCTCAGTCGCTTTGGTGCATTTCTCGAATCATCCTTAACATTTGCGAAACAGTAAGTGCATTTCTCAAAACAGATCAGCACAACACAGTGGATTACCTGCAAAAGCCCATAACTTGCTCAAAATCCTTAGTCTATCTCTCAAAAGCAAATCTTTATGTCATTGAACTTGTCAGTGCCATCAGAACGACAAGTCCTTGTGTCTTGTTTATGAACAAGCAAGTCAAAATGTTTAGCCATCTTGTCAATATAACAGTGTACTCTGTAAGTATTTTCTGATGTACACTCTGGCTAAGATTTTGATGACAATGATTGAAAATGCACAAGGCTGCACTTTCTTTGTCTGGCAAATATCACTTTCACCAGTACAAAGTTATACATTGCAGGAGAGAGGACAGGAATCACAGCTATGCTTTTACTGTTCGTACTGTAATTTGTTACAGAGCATTGTCGTAAGAAGAAAAGAAAGAGACAGGACTGTTGCATGGGATACAGTACATCCCTTTGGCTGACGTTCCGGTCTGTTGTATCACAGATTCTCTTCCACATCACAACAGATATCTTCATCAATTCGGGGCACATTTACAAAAAAATTCAAATAGACATGTATAGAATGTCTATCTATATATTCATTCATATATATACATACAGAAGCCCTAATCAAATATTCTTTTACTCTGTTTTCCTGTGATAACGGGATAATTTTCTTGTGATTTCGAGATAACTATAATGGTAATTATAGTGTGGTCCATAATGTCATTGGTTAGCTCATTTGGTAGAGCACAGGACTTAAAGTCTTAAGACTTCAACAAAGTACTTATGAAAAGACTGTTTCACATGCTCACATTACTCTAAAGCACCTGCTGGACTGTGTGCGTTCTTGGTCCACATCCATCAACCTATGGACTTGTCATTTCCCCATCGTTCCCAGGCAGAGGAAAGACCTTCTCATTCAGGGGAATCCATGTAACGTTACACATTTCCTGACGGCTTTCGGAACCTTTGAAATAGCCGTCGGGAAATGTGTGATTGGATTCCCCTCGGTCTCTTCATAACAATTTTGCTGAAGAGGATAATACACACATAAGAAGAAAAAGAAAGTCAACAAGAACAGGAATCAAACTAATCAAACTGAGCCCTGTGCTCTACCAACTGAAATAACCAGTGACACTGGTAATTGCTTTGAAATTATTCTAAAGAAACGCACCTGCCAGCGCCTGTATTCAGCTATGGTTTGTTATCTCGCGATCAAGAGAAGATGAATTATCCCGTTCTTAGGGGAAAACAACATTCACTTTTTATATATATATATATTACTGCTCACTGTGTATTATTACTGTTTACTGGTATTGAGTATTGGTATGGAGTGTTGCTATTGTGATGTTGTTGTGGTCTATTCTTACTTTGTTTATGGTCCTTAAGAAACAACATTTCGTTTAGCTATATACTTGTAGGCAAAGGAAATGAATAAAGTATTTTAACTTTGATTTTTGATAACGTGTTCAACCATTTTGCATGTACTGACTTATGCCTAGATGTTTTGGGGGGTAAGATTATTCAGCAGAGACTGGTATAATTCATTGCGATCAGCATGACATAAGCAATTGATAATGTAGGAAACCGCAGACAATTGTACATAATCATTTGCATCAGTGTGTCAAGTCATTTGCAATTTGTTCAAAACAATGAGAAAGTATTTTTATGATGTGCACAAGTGACGAGATGATGTGGAGGTTAAACAATTAGTTTTGAGAATTTCAATTCTGATCTGAGAAATGCACCAAAGCGACTCAGAAAAACTGTAATTAGAGCAGACTGCACAATTGGTGAAGCAAGAGTTAGTTATAGCATTGGTGCGTGATGTGTCATTTCCCCAAATTCATCAAAGCTTGACCAACAATCTGAAATATCAATACAGATTCAAGATGTTTGACTTTGGGTTTATTGCCATTGAAGTGCCCTCATTAAGCCAGGAAGTGAATTTTTACACATTCAAATAAAATCACGTGTCCAGGTTTTCGTCAGACTGTCACTGAGTGAGAAATCTATCACCTTTGATGGACGACCACAGCCTGAATCCTATGGCCTTGTCTCGTCACATCAAGGACAAAAAAAGCAGGCTGTCTGTGCTTTGACTTGTTTGGATCTTTGAAAACAAACACTAAAGCCTACATTCCCATGATTAGGCATAAAACTCCAGACCTAAGTAGGATAACACGCTGCCCATTAAAGAAGCTAAAGCTAAAATAGAGCCAAATTCCAGGAGAAGACTGATAATACTAGTGGTTTTACACCTGAGCATTTGGACCAAGGATGATTTTTGAATCATCTTTTTGAATTTTTGTTCTTTGTTTTCTACATTTCTTAGGAAAAACAGAATAATTCCCCATTTTTAAATATGCAATAATTATCAAATAAAACAACCCTGATAGTAGCTGAGCTGTTCTCTGTATAGCTTGTATGTTGCAAAAGGTTTAGTTTAGTTAATTACATTTATTTATATCAAGGACAAAAATACAAAATACATTTACTTTAACATTATATTACACAGAGCCAAACCATCATCTCTGATTGACCAACATATGCCAGACACACACGCACACACGCACACACGCACTCACGCACTCACGCACTCACGCACTCACGCACTTACACGCAAAATCACACTTGATAGGAAATTTCAAAATAGTATATACATACTGTATATGCAAAGTTAGAAAAAACAGGTGGTCAAAATGCCGAATTAATGCTGACAAGCCTGAAAAATCCTTTTTAAATTTACGGGAAAAAATATGGAAAACTGTGCTGATTTTCAAATTGACAAGGAGCTTATTCTATTCTTTAATGGCTTAAATAGAAAAGGCAGACTGTGCAAAGGAAGCAGACCTCGAAGAGTTAACTCATTTGCTCAGAGCGGAGCTGAGCAAAGCTCTCCAATTGTGGAGGCGCAGCATTATTGATTATCAAATGCACTAAACGGAGATCTGAAATGAAATTGACTTATTATATTTGAGACAAGACTAACATGATATTATGCAGTAATGAAAATTCATAGCATTCAAATATGTCTTAGAAGCTTTATCTGTAAATGAATTCAAATTTTAGCCGTTATATTTCAATACATGGGACATCTTTTGAATATGCAGACCTAAGATGGAAACCTGTGGCACTCCCATAATGCAGGCTCTTAGAGATCATTTTTTTATTGACGCACTGAGAGCAGTCAAGTAGGTAAGACTGAATCAAATTTAGAAAATTTACAGAAAGTTAGAATTTAGATGCTGGCCGCACACTAGAGGATAATTGGCTGGTCAGAACCGATTATCGGCCCAAACAATCCTGTAGTGTCAGGGGTTTACAGATGTTATCTTGGTCAACCAGATAGGAGACATCCCGATTTTGACTTGTGTATACAGTATATAAACATCAAGTGTGTGGTCCTGCATCTTAAATTTCTCGTCTGGTGTGTGGCTTCTTAAGATTAAAATAATAAAAATCCGATAATTCTGTCGTTTTGTCTGTGGTATCACTCATTTTAAAAATTGATTAAGATTTGAAAATCCTCCTGGTGCACAACCAGGCATTAGAAAGTACTGAGTGAGTCAGTGTATCAGTAGCTTTGCGCAGGTCAAGGAATATGTCCTCAACCACCCTTTATCAAAGAAGAGGCATCCCTTTATTTTATTTGGCTTTACTTTTTCTTCAAATTTAGAAACCAAAAACGCATCCAAGTTGTTGACCTCAGGTGAACATTACCTGCACAGGTATCCTCTGCATCGAGCTTTAAACAGTGTCACACACTGCCGTAATTTGGTAAATTTCTTCCGGGCAAAACACAAGCGGGTGTATCTCTGCAGCGTCATGGCAGCGATGTTCAGCAAGCGGTCACGCTTCCCCTCCAACAACTGATACAGCTCCTCTTTCAGGAAAATCTAACACACACACACAAACAAACAAATATAAATTAATCAGTATTTATTTCTTATATATGATTCATTTGACCTTATTTTGTACGTGTGTGTTACTGAGAGAGCTCACCTTACTGACTCCCAGCTGATACGATCCGTTCTTGACCGGACCGAGCTTGTGGAGCATGGTGACACAGTTTTCTCCATCTGCAGGTGGAAGATCCCTCAGGCAGAGAAGGGCTTTATACCTGTGTGCACATACAGTACATACACATACAGCAAACACAAATTTAAAATGACAATGAATGAAAATTAATTTTGAAGCAAATATGAATCTGTGAAATGCAAAGCTTGCAACATGTGTCTTAACTCTATGTTAATGTAAATCTTACATTATGGTTGGCTGTGAATCTCAGACCAAGTGTGAGGCTGGTATTCTAGTTTTGGTAGTTGTAGTATGTTTTTGTATTTAGCACTTTTAATGTGAATAGTATAATTGACTGTGGATGACTCTAAAACTGTTTTTCTACATTAATGTAAGTCAGACTACTTTGGCAGCCGGTGGTCAGAGGTGCTGTGAGATCAATTGGTTTCAGTTGCTTTCCTACTGCAGGAGCTGGCAACTACCAGATGGCTATTTCAGCATGAAGAAATTGGTGTGTGAATAGCACTCTTGCCAGAAAAAGCCAATATTTCAGGCAATTTTGAGTTGTGAGCTGAAGCAATTCTTTTCAGGACATAAAGCTGAACAGGAGGCGGAGACAGTCTGTACTAAATTTTAGCTTACATGGTTCAATTATATATATATATATATACATTTCTCCTCAAATACACTTAATGTGAAGACTGGTAAGTAACCCACCTTGATAGGAAGCTGCGAAAGTGCATTCTGATCGGATATCCCTCCTTCCTGATATGGATGGTCTCCATGATACCAGAGTAATGTAGTTGAGTGCTGATCAGCTCCATGTCAAACACTCCAGGCTCCTACACATACATATGCATGCATACAAATAATACACATGAGATGTACTGTATATTACATATTAATTAAAATGCAAAAAAAAAAAAAAAAACACTGCAAACCTGCACACATCATCCAACTTGCAAATATACCTTACGATGGTTTGGCTTCATGCATCGCACAAAATAAGGGTTACACCTGTCACAGATAGATGAGAATGAATAGATGGATAAATTAATGTATGATTTGTCCTGTGCAAGGAAATCAAGTAGATATTGGTAGGGCATGGCATAGTTATACAGCTGCAGCTACTTATTATATGCAAATAACCTGAAGCGGAACAAGCAGAGGGGGGGGCAGAGGGTATTTTTTCAGGAGTTTTAAAAGCATGCAGCCTGTCTGCTGTATTTCTGTTACCCTCACTGTCATAACAATAAAAGTGGAGGGAAAAGTGCCACTGTATAAGGGCCCAGTAGAGGTCCTCGCCCCCTCTGCAGTTAGCCATCAGCTCCGCACCTGCATACAACAGACTGATAGATCTCTAGAAGCTTCTTTTTTATTTATAGAGACATGACTGAACTCAATTAAGCAAATAAAATATAATACGGTATGTGTCACTCCCTCTTGTACTCAATAGTCTCTCTATATATATATCTTGCCGTATCTCATAGTAAATTTCGGACACTTACAGTGTGACTCATCATCACCACTGACAGGTTTATTATTATTTATTCATTTTATTTCTAAGACTTGTTATTTATTCAACCATCTATTGTGTATAATTTGTGTATATAAAATTTTGCATAAAGAACTACAACTTAATCTCATTATCCAACCCTGTGTTGTAAAATAATAAAAAAATCTATTGTACCTTGTACCTTTTACCTTGTAGGTGCTATGTCACTTAAATATACTTTAAGTGTCTGCTTTCTCAGGAGCATAGCATACAGTTAATGTGGGAATGTATGAGGGCACTACATAGTGCATACATTTTATACTCACATTATATTTGGACACTCAAATGAGTTTCAGGAAGGCAATTGTAATACTGTTCAGTGGCAACTAGGGAGCAGTTTCAAACACAACTTTGCCCCTTTCAGGTGTATTAAAGGTAATAAAGGTTAATTGAGTGTTACTCCAACCTTTCCATCTTCTCCAGCAACTCTTGCAAGCTGCTCTGGAACTTTGCGCTGACGGTGTTAGCCTGATAACGACGAGCCGCGCTGCTGCGCCGCACGTTAGAACGCTGCAGAGACACAGACTCTGAGTGCTTTAAGAAGATGCTGGATACCATCTGTAAAACAACAAAACATAAACAAAGACAACAACACAGAGGACAAAGAGGTAAGTCAAATCATGAATAATCAATGTCATATAATCACTGGATAATATTTGTAGTATGTACTATTGAATATGAAATTATTTCACAGCAGAATTAATAAAGTATTTAAAATATAAAAGCATGGGAGTTTTGTAAATATAAAAAGTTGAAATAATAAGAGAGAGTAAGTCAAACTGTATATTTGCACATCTCACTCTATTCTTGCTCTGGCTGAAGAGGTCTAAAACATCCTGGCGGACCATGTCAAAGTTTTTATCCAAGAATTTGTGCACCTGCACCGCAAATCATTAGAAAAGTGTTAGAACAAAATTCAAGCCAGGGACATGTGACATCAGATTCAACAGTAGACAAACAAAATCACTAATCCAAGGTGGAGAAATTAGTATTAATAAATTGAAGAAGGAATTTGATCTTGAAAACAACAAAAATTATTTGAGCGGTTGTTGAGGGGGTGAGGGAGGAGAATCAATTAGAACAAAATGTAGAACTAACAGAGGTGAAGTGGCTTTGGGAGATTGGATCTTGAGTTTATGAGGTCCCTAAGGACAACAATATATTGTATATAGGCTTGAAAACACAAGTAATGATGAGAAGCGACCTGCATCTCTGTAAAATTTAATTGAAAAAGTAATTTTAAAGGAGCAGCGTGTAACTTGGCATCGTGGTGTGAGAGTTTCAAATGAATGAAAAATGAATCAAATGAAAATTTGAAACCAATGGCTCACATATTTTGAGCTACTTTGCTTCCTTAACATGTCTTCTTTCAGACTAGTGGGGGACAAATGTCCATTCTACTGCAACATCTCCTGCCGCTACCAATGTCTGCACCATATGATCCCCGGTACTGCTGGAAAGCTCTCTCTCTCCTGCATAATGCTTTCAGATCCAAAAATAGTAATTTCCTTTGTACCAGCAACCAATCATGAAAGTCAATTTCTGACATGATTGGTTAAGATGTGTCACATGGTGTACTTTAACACTTCCTGATTTAGCTTTCCGTGGGTGGCTCTGTCTGTTTCTGTCTGTTTTGTGTGCGTAATTGTGTCTGTTCAGACATGTTGTTACTCAGTAATTAGAGGAATTATAGAACATTTTATTTAAAACAGGTTGAATATTGTTTCTTTATGCCTGTTTACAGTATGTTTATATAAAAACATTTTAGTATAATGTTTCAACAAAATAAAACAATAATTTTGAACCTGACTTAATCCAGTGTTCAGATTTCAGTTCTTGAAATAGTTGCAATTTAGCGCATATTTCATTTGATACTGCCTTATTTGCATATTTAAACATAATATTTCAGAAAACCTATAATACAAAAAAATATTGTCTTAATGTAAGTTATCAACTAGGAAAGTTTCATGGTGAAATCTACTAGTTAGATTTTTTATCCTATTCACCTGCAGTGTCTCGCTTTACGTCGGAATGTGGAATCAACATGGACACTAGTACAAAGATGTGTTGGATTAGCATTATCAGAGTTACACAACGTGCAGACATCTGCAATATTTTATAACAATTTAATTTCTAAATCCAACAACAAAAAGGCTGTGAAAACTAAAAACTTTATATAATATATACTACCCCTGGCAAAGTTTTTATTATTTGTGTCTGTTCTGTATACTTCCTTATGTCCCATGTACACTTTATTCCTCTTTTTGAAATAAAAAATTCTGATTATTCTGACAGTTCAGTCACTGCACTCGCAAGCCTGCAGGAGAAGCTACGGTGGTGGTACATGCTCTTTTCTCTTCTTACTTCGAACAAACCAGACAACTACTGCTAGTACTACTACTTCTCCTTGTTTTTCATACGTATTCATTGTAGAGCAGTTTGTCCATTTGGGCTACTGTAGAATCATGGCGGCGCAACATGGCAACTTCAATGTAAGGGGATCCACGGTGTATAGAAATATAGACAGAAATGCCTTTTCTAGGGTAATAACATAACATAAACATAACATAATGGTTAATTATGTCCGGGTCTTTATACACATGTGGAAACAAAGCTATGTATTTTATATTGCATTTGGGAAGTGGAACCTCCCACACAATAGATAGATAGACATATTAAGGTAATAATGTTTTGTTGATGTAAAATATCTTAAATTGTTACACAAACAAAATGACAAAAAGGAGTTTTAGGAAAGAAATAAAGGTGTACCTGATATGTGACCTTCCCAGCATAGTGTTTCACGGTGAACTCTGGCAGTGGCATCTTTGGCCTGGCATATAGCGGGTTGTTTCCATGGTGATAGTGGCACTTCTGAAGGAACGTGTGGTCTGTTGCCTAACAATGATGGGAGACAGCGAATGGCAGGTGAGCCATGGAAACTAAATCTTTACAGCACAAACACATGTTGCTTGTGTGCATTCAGCAGATTGCCTCAGTCAGTATCTTGAGTAACACCGTGTTCATATTTCACTTTGAGCATCAGAGACACTTCACAATACGTTTATCTCAATATGAGCTCAGTCAGCTTCTCACATTAGGAGCCTCGGGAATAATGATAACAGCAGGTAGGCAATTAAGTGAGCATGTGGGATAGTTTTATATTGATAGGAACTGACTAAAGTACACTTCAGTCTCCTGCTGCTATGAGAAATCCAATAAGTGAGATTTTTTTAAACTCAATTTCTTTTCAAAAATGAGCCATTATATATTATGTAACTTGAATTATGTTTTATTGTGTATCGTGTAACTGTTTTTTTTCACAATACACCTAAATAATGTAAGATTTCAAACTACACATGCTCACCACAGGAGTCTGATTTTTGTGCACTTAGAGAACAAGTTTTTGATGGAGGAATGAATTATTAATGCCCTTTGCTTTAATCAAATACTGTTATTAATGTGTGTACTAATTACTGTGTATTAATAAATATTATTTTCAGTTCACTTCAATTAATATCAGCTATGTTTATTGTTTATTATTAAATTTGAGTGATTTCTCATAACTTTTGGAATTAATAGTTTAGTTCAACAAGTGATGATGTACCTGAGGGAAACCACATTGGTCGTCCAGTATGCGCAGTATCCCATGAGGCTTAGCAGCGATGAGGTCAAGACAGGCCTGGTTGTGGCTGAAGGGCTGCTGCTGCCATTCGATCTGCTCGCGCATGTATTCCTCCTACACGCACAGCACAAAAGTTCATCAGGTTGGTGTATATAAAACTCTTCTAACTAACCCAGGTCGCATTGATGTGATGTTGTGCAGGTCAAAAGATCATACAGCACGTCATGTTTCTACCCTATCCCCAACCAATTTTGGACAAGCTACGATACACTGATTGACTTGTGTGTGTGCGCAGTGTCGGGCAGTCGTTACTAGTTTAACTACATTTCTCAGTAGCTTGGTGGTAGCGTGGCTATTTTCTGAATCAAATAGCTTTTCAGTAACGAAGCTCTTTTATTGTACGAGTAGCGCGGTAGCTTCTACACACGCTACATTTTCCCAAGCATTTCTGAAGGATCAGTAAGTGACACCACCGCCGGTGACATCACGTATCGATCCTTGGGCTGATGTCTGCGACTTTGCTCCAGGGGAGTAAAGACACGCGCGACTGAGTTTACTTTCTGTTGTGATAGTTATTGTAATCTTGTGAGAAGGATCAGTGCCCAGCCTGGACAGCTCTTCCTCTAGTGAGGAGGAAACTTTGATGTAGTGGCAGAAACCTGTTTCCATGAGATGAGTTTCTGTGTGTCTGATTTAGCTCTCTCTCTCACACACACACTGTTTGGAGCAGGTTTTTAGTCTTTCTTCTATTGCTCAATATAAACTAGGCCCATAGCCTACTGTGTGTGCCTTCATATATATATATATATATATATATATATATACATATACATATATATATATATATATATATATATATATGTGTGTGTGTGTGTGTGTGTGTGTGTATATATATACATATATATGTATTTTAACTAACTATAAAAAAATGAAAAGTAGCTTTTAGCTACTACTAGCTAATGTGTCTGATTTTTACTAATAGTAGAAATCTATCTAGGGAAATCAGGTTTCTCTAATCCCCTACCCAAATTTCTTGAGTTCTTGTATACATAGCAGCATATACACCAATCAGCCATTACATTATGACCACCTGCCAAATATAATTATTATAATTGTGTAGGTTCCCCTTTTGCTGTCAAAACAGCCCAGCACCAAGACGTTAGCAGCAGATTCTTTAAGTCTTCTAACTAATGTAAGTTGCAAGATGGGGCCTCCATGAATCAGACTTGTTTGTCCAGCACGTCCCACAGATGCTCGATTGGATTGAGATCTGGGAATTTGGGCCAACTCAACACTTTGTAGGATATCCTGTGTTTCTCGTTGTTGAGTTCCTCCAGCCATTCCTGAACCATTTTTGCTTTGTGGCAGGGTGAATTATCCTGCTGAAAGAGGCTACTGCCATCAGGGAATACTGTTTCCATGAAAGGGTGCACATTGTCTGCAACAAGGCCACCTGCTTCCATTGCTCTGTGGTCCAGTTCTGATGCTCACGTCAGAACTGTCCCATTGACAGTGAACAGGGGTCAGCATGGTCTGATTGGTCTGACATGACTGGTCTGCACTATGTTGTTCAGAACTTATTCAGCAATTTGGCCTACAGTAGCTTTTCTGATGGATCAAACCACACGGGCCAGCCTTCGCTCCCCATGTGCATCAATGAGCCTTGGTTGAGTGCATGACCCTGTCGCCGCTTCACCCCTTTTCCTTCCTTCCTTGGACCATTTTGGATTCTGACTTGGGCTGAAATGATTCATCGATTAAATTGATAAAATCGATTAATAAAATGCATCAACACAAATTCTTTGCATTGATGCCTCGTTTAATCCATCTAACTATACACCACAGTGTTTTGCACATTTATTACTGTCGCACATTGCGCTTACGCTGTGAACACAAAGTGATTATAATGAAGCTAAATCAAGCTAAAGACAACAACAACTCTGTAATGTTACCGTCCGTCCACCGTAAAACGAATACTTATGTCGCCTTGGCAACAGCACGACGGCAGCTGAACAAAAAGCAGCAGGTGTTCTGCCAGCGGACCACAGACAAGGTACACAGCAACTTTAGCATTTAACTGAAATCATGATTGATTGTTGAGTTGAAGGCTAGCCAAAGTAAGCTGCAGACCTCAGCTGAAAATGTGACCACATGCATTTGTTGTTCTCCTTTTTGGGCCATGAGTTGTAACCTGCTAATCCATCCTTTCACCCATATTCTTTGTCTTTATTATCGCCATCTTTATAATAACAAACAGCTGTTTTGTGTGCAGGATCGCTCATTTCCTGTTTCACATTTCACGTGTGTTTTCTTGACAAAACACGGTTTGGAGACCAGCATCGGGTGACACAGCTGCTGTCAGCTCCTGTAGTGTATGATGCTTTGGCAATATTGTTGTTATACATTCATGCCAATAAAGCTAATTTGAATTGAATTGTGTGTGTGTGTCCCTGTCACCGATCAGTCACGCAATGTGAACGCCACAACGACTTCAAGACTGCTGTCATACAAGTTGTGTGAACGGCCCGGCCATCGGCCCATGCTAAAGGTCGTGTAGTCTGCACGAGCCTTTAGCATAACTTGTATAGCACTTGGGTGATGTTTGTGTTTGTAAAGCAGCTGTCTGGTTGTTGGTTGGATGTTTGCTGTATGACACTATGAATTTCTGAAAGGACTAATAAATATCTATCACCTATAAAAGTGCACAGCTGATCCCGTTGGGGGGGGGGCAAGCAAAAGTACTTAAACGACACATCGATGAATCGTTGAAATAATCTATCGAAGCTTCCAATACTAAAATCATCGTTAGATGCAGCCCTAATTCTAACCACTTTTTTTTTTCAGGAAAAAAGTAGACACCATCCTCTCCCTCCTGTCCTGCTCCTTTCAACCTGCCTCTCCCGACTCACAGCCTATTCTCAAATAACCCACCTTAGACCTAGAAGTCTTTGCCAACTACAGGCCCATCTCCAACCTCAAATTCCTTTCCAAGCTGCTGGAAAAAGGAGTTGTACTATGGCAACTACTTCTATATCTTAAAAAAAATAAACCGCCTGGTTTCCGCCCTGGCCACAGCATGGAACCGGCTCTGGTCAGGGTCATAAATGACCTGCTGATGACAGCAGACGTTGGCTCTCCATCATTTCTCATCCTCCTGGACTTGACTGCAGTGTTCGACACTGTGGACTGCAACATCCTCCTTTACTATCTACACTCCACCATCGGTCTCTCTGACTCTGTCCACAACTGGTTTTCATCCTACCTAACCAGGAGAACTGAGCATTAATCCCTGACAGACAACGTCACCTGTGGTGTCCCTTAAGACTCAGTGCTTGGCCCCACCCTGTTTATTCTCTACATGCTCCCCCTCGGCTGTGTCATCAGCTGGCATGGAGTTTCATTCCACTGCTATGCTGATGACACTCAATTCTACCTCAGGACTAACCCAACCCCTTCTGCTGCCCTGCCATCACCCACCTGCCTGGGGGAGATAAACACTTGGATTAAGCAAAACTTCCTGCAGTTAAACAGCTCTAAGACTGAAGCCATCCTGGTCTGCACTCCACACCAGGTCCATTCATCTGTCATTACCAACATCACCTTCTCTCACCAGGATATTCCACTTTCAACATGAGCCGCCAACCTGAGTGTTAGAACGGGCTCTCGTCTGACCTTTCAGGTTCACATCAAACATCTATACAAGACTACCTTCTTCCACTTCAGGAACATCGCAGAAAAGCTTGTCCACAACTTTGTCTCCTACAATCTGGACTACTGCAATGTGCTCCTCACCAGGATTCCCGGCAAAAGCCTCCAGAAGCTGCAGTACATTCAGAACAGAGCTGCTAGGATCCTGATGAGGGTGCGCAATTGCCCCATCCTCAAATCACTCCACTGGCTTTCTGTCTCACTCAGTATTGAGTATAAGGTCTCCCTCCTCACCCACCAGTGCATCCATGGTGACACTGCCCCTTTCTCAAGGAACTCCTCACCCCACAAACCTCTACACGTACTCTCCATTCTGTTTATATCTCCTGAAACCTCCCAGGACCGTGCTCCGTACTATGGTAGACTGGCCTGTGGAATGCTCTCCCTGACCACCTGAGGACACCACAGACTATGGATGCTTTAAACGTGGCCTTAAAACCAACCTTTTTAGCAGAGCTTTTGGTTGATTGTTATTCTTATTCTCTTTGTGTTTTATTTTTAGCACGTTTGTGTTTTTTAATATGTAGCACTTTGGGATTTGTCTAAATATAAAGTTAGTTACAAATAAAATGTATTATTATTATTATTATACTTTGACTTTTCAACCAAAATGAAGCCGGTTTTAACCTAGATGTCCTTTTGACATTCAAATCAGCAAATACATCCTCACTTGAAAAATACAAACATATATATGAAAATATTAAATTGAAATTTCCCTGACCTGCTCCTCTTGGAAGATGACTCTGTTAAAGAAGAACTGCAAAGTTTCGTTGGCGTAGTTGATGCAAAGTTGCTCAAAACTATTCACCTGTAGCTCCTGGAGGACAAAGAGAGGGGGCATTGGGGAGTGGGGGAGTTAGTAAACACAGGTCAGCTCATACCCATCGGCGCTGTAACATTATTGAGCGAGATCATGCTTTAGCTTGACCTCAAATCCATATATGTCCAATATGGAGATGGAGAGGGCTTCGTTGCGAGGGTAGACCCGTCCGTTGATGCGCTCCGTCAGCCAACTAAACAGCAGCGAGTACAGGATCTTGGCAACGGCATCTCTATGAAAAACACACAATAAGGTTTCTATGGAAACAGAAAACCCGGTTCCTATGGAAACAGAGGACATCTGAAAAATCTCTCCCCCAGCCCTGACATCCTTTGTCCTCATATGCCTCTACCAAAGATTGGAAGAGAATATCAAAGACTCTTCACTCCCTCTCAGTAGCACTACTGGTAAGATTTTAGATCAAAAATGAGGACATTAAAAAGCTTCAAACAAGACTGTTAAACTGGCTTTTCTTTCAGGTTATTCCAAGCAGAAGTAGGTGCGTAGTATTTAATTTAACAGATACTATATTCAGACTTTTATTCACTCACTCACCTGGCATCCACAGCACTCTCCACTGTGAGTGGAGTTAAGATCTTCTCCCTTACTGTATCCTGGGAGGGTCAAACACATCTGTTATCTGACAACATATATTTGTTATATAATTCCTTATATCTATGTTATTTTGAGCGTGAGCGTGTGATTGTTTATGCAAAGTGTGTTATGCTTACTGTCATTTTGAAGGTGACAGACTTCTGCAGGCCGTCAGGTGAGACCTGCAACAGCTCAGCTACCACCCTGATCTCCTGTGCGCTCACCATCGATGCAACCTCCTGACCCTCAGCCTGCACGGATGCACACCCACACACACAGAGGCGTGCACATTCATTATTGCCATCATCTATTAACATCATCATTATCATTCAGACGTGAAACGAAATGCATTTACGTATTTGTGCGTGTGTGTGTGTGTGTGTGTGTGTGTGTGTGTTTGTGTGACAGAGAGACCTGGAGTGGCTGGAAGTAGACATTCCCCAGATGAAGGACAGAGGACAGCAATCTGTAGATGCCGTTTTGCTCCTCTGGGGTGAAACACAAGATGTCCATGGCACTCAGAAGACGCCTGAAGTCCTCCCCATCATCCTTCCCCTCTATGGTACAATCACCTCCCTGCACTCGTGTACACACAAATCACACACACATACACCGTTATCAACAACAGCAGCATACTTACCCTCAGCCTGTTTAGTCAGAGCTCTAATTAAAGAGCAACTTATCAACAGCTGAAAGTCTTGTTTTTTCTGACCTCCAGAGGCTCAACTTCTTACCTTGATGCAGTGATGTAGAAGTATATGCCAGGGTGTACAGTACAGTCAGTACATCATGGCTGAGTGTGCTTACTGGTGCAACAGAGCACACTTCTGACCACACTTTCAACCAGACAGGATAATAAAACACTACTTTTCAGTATGGTATTACATTACTATTTAAAACATAAGCCACAAGTGATTGCAGTAGTAATGACAAACTACTCACAATAACGATGTAAATAGTCAAGGATCTTTAATTAGCATTAGCATGTGCAACCTGTTGCATAACAAGTCATGAAATGTTACAAAGAAGCAAGCAGATGTTGAGCACTTAAGGATCTTAACATGAGAAAAAGGGTTGCGGTGGTACTGTGACCTAAATGGTAAGTCAGCATAACAACATGCTCATAATGACAATGCTAACATGCAGATGTTTAGCAGTTATAATGTTTACCATGTTCACCTTCTCAGTTTAGCGTGTTAGCACATTTGACGAAAAAGAAAAATGTCAATCCTATGGTTCACTAGACGAAATTTTGTAGAATTCATCCTTTCTTGTGCATGAGTGTCTATACAAAATTTCATGAAAATCCAACATAAACCTCACCATCATCAGTTTTTTCATTAAAAATTAAAGCCTTACTAGAAGGTACACAGAGTAACAAGTTGGATGTCCATTTTGGAAAGAAATAAGGTAATTACATCACTCAGTATATCTCAGATACAACGTGTCCAGGCTGCAAAGGTCCCTTACTCTGTATTTGGGTACTGCAATGAGTTTTAATGTTGGTGTTGGAACTATTAATCACTTTGTAGAATAAATGCCACAATTTAAAAAAAAATGACATCTCATTTGTTAATGTGACTGTGAAATTAATTACAGTGACCCCTCCTTATCTGTGCTGTGTGTGGCGGGGAATGTACAGTATTTCATATTCCTCTGAGCACCTGATTCAGATAGTAGTAAGTCTCAGCTTCCTGCAGATAGAGTGAGCGCTTCTCATGAGGAGGAAGACCCGCCAACATCTCATAGAAGATGTGATAGTTCCTCTCCGATTTGGCCTGTGGATGAACACACACACACACACACACACACACACACACTGTCACATGACATACATGAATCAACTATCACATGCACACATATTCACATACACAATTAGACAAGCTCAAAAACAACTGGATAAATTGATGAATGACTGAGCAGACTGGGTGGTGTAAAGATCTGGTGCAACGTGTTTGACACCTCTAATGCAGTCTGCCTCTACAATCTCCTCTTTCGCACCATGACTCATTGGTAAGAAGACTCCAACCTGACCTGCTGTGTGTGTGTGTGTGTGTGTGTGTGTGAGCTTGTGTTTTCACCTGAAAGACAATGCGGGACTTCTCCAACAGGTACTGGGACGTTATGGCACCGCTGATAACACCCCTTGTTAATGACACACAGGCAGTTACACAGACACACATGCAGGGACGGACAAACACGCACGCTAAGTCTAGGTCATGCATGTGTAATTTGCCTGAATCTTCTCTGTCACAGTTCTAGTAAAAGATCAACTACTCATCTAACTGTGTTACTGGGACATGTTAGCATATTCTCCATTTAGCAAAGTGTGTGTTTCTGTGTGTGTGTGTGTGTGTGTGTGTGTGTGTGTGTCTGTGTGTCTGCAGACATGCACATAGGTGACCAGAAGGTTACATACAGGCTGCTTGTTAGATTTACAACGGGCTGTGTTTATCACAGAGAAACTACAGCCAATCCGCACTCTTGTTGTAGATTAGATATATTAGATAGATATTAGCTATAACTATAAAAATACAGCTATTACAATATGTGATCTGATTCTGATGATCTAGAAATGGGGAAAATTCCTTGTTTCTAGATCATCAAGACTCTTTCTGGACTGGTAGAAGTTGTTACTACTTACTCCTCCATGTAGATCTGCGTGTATTTGCCAAAGCGTGAAGAGTTGTCATTGCGCACTGTTTTGGCATTCCCAAAAGACTCCAACAGGGGTGTGGCCTCTAGTATCTGACCAATCGTCACAGACAAAGATGTTACTATGGCTACCTTCACATGGATAATAGTTGTCATGAAAGCAAAAACAAGGGGAGAAACACTTTACCTCTATCTGATGGGAGACGGTTGAGAAGAAGACAGAGGGGAGGAAAGCAAAGCAATACCAGTGTTAGCTTAAATGGCCATAGTAGGGAGTGTATTTGTTAACATGAATGTACATTATATGCTGCTTACCTGTTGTGTGACGTTGCACTTGTGATGTATGGCTGTCAGGTAACGCAGAATCAGTTTAGTAGCTTCAGTCTTTCCTGACCCACTTTCTCCACTGTAATAACAAATAATGTAATAACAGTTAACCAGAATCTTTTATGGCACTTTAGGATGTTGCACATTATGGACAGTAATAAAAATGATCTGAAAATGGGAGTTGTTAAAAATAGCATTTAACTGACAGCTTTAAGTTTTGGAGTTTTGTGCTGCTAGTTGAAATTCAAAGCCTTACTAAGCCAAAATGAAAAATGCCTGTAACAGTAACAGCATTTCATACCTGATCACAATACACTGATCCTTTTTGGCATCCATCATGGTGGTATATGAGAGATTAGCAATGGCAAAAAGATGACTGCAACACAACAACATTTTTTATATGAAAAACACATTTGTATTATCACTGTCATGTCTGTTGTGCGTGTCTATGTGTGTGTGTCTCTGCGTGTGGATGTGAAGTGGTAGTGAAATCCATAACCAAACTCTCCCTTGGCAACCAACCAACAAGAGTGTAATAGGAGCCTTTTACTAACACCTGAGTGCTGGCATTTACACCTCTATTTACCACCAAACTGTATCTCAGGGCACAGCCTGCGACACATGTAGACAGGCGTAATACAACAGTACAATCACACACAGGAACACACTGACTCAAAGGTTATTGTTAAAAGATTTTTGTTGGTGTATTCTGTTCAACACTAGAAAGCACTCAAAAGAGCTTACACCTGCAAATTTAGAGGAACTTCAGAAGATTATCTTTGAGGTAACCCTAAAATATTTTCATGATGATGAATAACTGTGAGAGTACTTTTTCTGAATCATCAATATTCTTTGACCAATTGCCTAGCTCTTTATCAGATTTTATAGATGTGCAAACACAATTTTGTCATTGTCTGACTGCCAACACATAGTCAGACAACCAAACCAGACTTAAAACATGAACCTCTTTGGAGTTAATAAGTTCAGGGGCTAATTGACTAGGTCTAACACACACACACACACACACACACACACACAACACACACACACACACACACACACACACACACACACACACACACACACACACTCCCAAGTCTTACGGAGGGTTGTCACTCAGGCCGCGGCCTGCATACTGAAGCACCATGTCTGTGCCATAAATGTTGAGCAACTTGTAGGGATTCACAGACACGAGGATGCTGCCTATGTAGGTCTGTGTGTAAGAAAAAGAGAGAAAGAAAGGACAAGAAGGAGAGTGGATGTAGCAGGCAGTGTCCACGACATTTGATGACATTAGTTATTTAATTTGCAAATTACAAATTAAGCATACATATACAAGTTCCTGGTCGTAGCGCTTCTTCAGGTTCATCAGAACTGTGGTCTCATTCAGCTCACTGAAATTAAACAGAGGAAATTAAACACACATGTAGAGAGCACATATTGTCACACTGGAGCTCACTGTGACATCCAATATTAAGAACTTTTCAATGACATTTAAGATCTTTTTCAGTGAAAACTGGTAAAATTATGTGATGTCAAAGTCAGACCAAATATGTTTTTAAGCATGTAAGGAAATTATTATAGAATATTCTCTTTCAAATTACTATTGAAATAGCACATATCTAATGCATGGGATTCCTCTGGATTTGATCACTGTTTGACAGAGATCTACTTGGGTGTTGCATTTTAATAATATACTTAACATACTTAATGCGCATGACTTCTTTCTGAACTCACACACATTCCTAAGGATTTTCAAAGACTACTAAGCACACTGGGACACATACTTGAAGAAACTGAAAGGATATACATTGAAATGAGCTTTGCTGCTCTGCATTGGAGCAACAACATACTTGCAAGTATGACATGAGTAAATGAGCTTTGAGGCTGTTTGTTAATACAGGATTCTGCTTACGGCAGCTGTGTCATGTCCTCCATTCCCTCTGCCCAGCGTTTCGGCCTGTGGCCTGTTGTGGGCATGCTCAAAATAGAGTAGATCTGGACACATACACACATAATGGGATGTAATTAGTCCAACATTGTGATCCAACATTGTCAAATTCAAAAAGAAATTCAAATATTCTTGTTTGTGAACTCTACAGGAAAATGTTTTTATATTGTCTACAGTATATTGCACTCATTCCAATACCAATTGATTGTCCATCAGCTGTCATTAAAAAATCACACAAATGTAAAAGTGAAACACCTAATCTTCCTAAAATGGGTACACAGACAGACACATGAATAACACATGAATTCATACATTTAGCTACCTTGTCATACCAGCTTTGACCAGGTACTCTATCTCTGTCAGGAGTCCAGTCTGTGTCCTGAGGCTGTCCATCCACAACCCGAGGTGTGGGTGAAAATCCTTCTAACACCCCATCTTCTCTGTACATGGACCACTTTGACAGATTCTGGACCGTCCCATGTGGTAAAACCCTTTCAGCTGCCCAAACATCTTCTCCTCCTTCCCCTCCTCCTTGGGCATTCCTGGCCCAGTGTCCTGAGCGTGGCCCATAGGGAGGAACCACAGCATAGTGATTATCCTCACCCTGCAGGCCTGTTGGCACGCTGTATGAAGCATAGCGAAGCTGCTGATTTTGGATGGCATTCGACAGGCTTGGGTTGTGGAACCGACGTGTGAGAAGAGAGCCATCCGGCAGCCTGTCAAACAAGGAATGTTCTTTTCAATTAGAAACATGTAACACATGGATGTGCAACATGGCCATTGTGGAATTTTGTCATTGTGATAGTAATGGCAAATCATGCTGCTTTTCTACATATAGGGAGTTTACACCACAGGAACCTTCCCAGAGGACCAAGAACATTTTGAGGAAGTCTGTGTTGTTGCTTCTCAAGTGTAAAAATTGCATTACTAACACCGCCATTGTTTTTTAATCAATCATCGTATTATTTTATCTAATCTTCATAGTTCTTCAGGTGAGGTGGAAACACCACCCGATTCCATAGTTCCCGGAACGTTTTGGTCAAAAAGGACTAATATTTCATTCTTCATAGGTAAAAGTTAATGCCTAGCTTGCAGCTTCATTTCTCAACAGGTAATTCTGTGCAACACCTCGACAAGGCTATCAGGCCATTCTCTTTCCTAGTTTCCTTTTAAAGTGTAGTTCCCCACCTGAAATGGACACCCTGGAGTTCCTCTTTCCGTAGTGCAGAGTTGATGTTGGGAGTTGTCGGTTTGGGTACGCCTGACAGCACATAGTTCTCTGGCAGATGATAGAGACCTGTAGACCGGATTGCCTGGTTTTGCCTCAGAGCAGCTGCAAGGTTGGGAGTGGAGGGCTTCTGACCAGGGATAACCAAGGAACCATCAGGGAGCTGGTATGATGCATTACGAAGGTTCTCGTTCGTAAGAGCCTGCAGCACAAGACACCAGGTAGTTATTCAAGGCTGCAATCAGAATTTGGTAAATTTTGATAATTATTGTCATCAAACTGAAGACTTCAAATGTCTAAAATGTTATGTTTGCTTTTTAAACAAACACAGGGACCAGGAAAAACAAACAAATGGGTTCTGGAGCAAAGTAAATGAAGATAAATTTAACAGGTACACACTTTAGACAGGTTAGGGGCAACTGGTTTCCGTGGGTCAATGATGATGGTTCCATCAGGCAGAGTGTAGGACACACCCTTTAGATAGGGATTCTGCAGGGCGGCTGTCAGGTTGGGGGTCTTTGGTTTCCTTGGGTCCACGATAATAGTTCCATCGGGGAGGGTGTATGAAGCTCCTTTCAAGGCTGGGTTACTGAGGGCCTAAGTATTACGAAAGCTGTTTTCAGTTAAGGAAAACCTGAGAGGTTTAACAGTTCAATTAATCGTCAGAAAATTAAAGCAGCAGCTAAGTGTGTTTGATTGCCAGTTAATATTAGCAAAAGACATGCAACAATTTGTTGAAACTATTTAAAATCCCTATACTTCAGCTCTTCTACACAAGTCCTACTATATATACAAAAAAGTGGCAGAAATAGTAATAGATTAACACACATGCAAGGTTACAGATGCTGTGAAAGTAAAGGGAAAAATAAAAAACCCAAAGAGTCTAAATCTTTAGCTAACCTTAGCCAGGTTTGGTGAAATGGGTGTATTGGGGTCATGAACCCCTTCTGGTAGTGTGAAGGAGGCATTCCGCAGAGCAGAGTTTTGAAGAGCATTGGAAAGGTTTGGAGAGATGGGTTTCCGTGGATCAATGATGATAGTACCATCGGGGGGGTGTAAGATGCACTTTTCAGGTAGGGGTTCTGAAGTGCTGCTGTAAGGTTCGGGGACTTCTTTTTGTTAGGGTCAATCATGATGGTACCATCAGGAAGAGAATAGGAGGCTTCACGCAGCGCTGGGTTATTTAGTGCCTTGGCCAGGTTTGGAGAAATGGGTTGCTGAATGAGCAGAGACAGTTGAGTGAGAAAAATCTTCATTAACTTTGACTTTTACATGAGTAACAACAGTAGGGAGGGAGAAGAAAGGAATATAATACAACATAAGAGGCAGATTCAATTCAAGTAAATAGTAATAAGTCATGGGTTACTTGCTGTCTGGGGTCTATAATGGTGCCATCAGGGAGAGTATATGAAGCAGTTCTGAGACCCTGGTTCTGAAGAGCCCTGGAAAGGTTAGGAGACGTGGGCCTCTGGGGCACACGTGGGTCCTGTGTGGGTGGGGAGTTATATAGGACAGGGCAACAATTGTTTTTCCATGTGGACAAACATACATGTCAGGTTGTATAGTTATTTCGACATGCTCCTTTTATACCTACCCTGATAATTGATCCATCAGGCAAGGTGTATGAGGCACCACGAACTTGTTGGTTTTGCATGGCATGGCCGAGCAATGGGGAGGAACGTGAATCTGCATATGGTGACACCAAAGATCCATCTGGCAGCCGGTACGATGCCTGCATCAGCTGTGGATTTTGTAGGGCACTTCCCAAAATTGGTGAAGAGGGTGGTGGGGGTCCATATGGGGATCGCCTGAGTTGCACAGGTGTCTGATAAGATGCTTGACGGAGGTTTGGGTTCTGTGTAAGAGCACTGTGGAGCTGTGGCCCAGCTGGTGCATAAGGGTTACGGTGTTGCATCATGGGGGATCTTAAAGATGAGACATTCTGCAGACCAGACCGGTTCTGCAGTGCATCATGAAGCAGTGGTGCTGGGCCAGGCTCAGAGATATAATCATATGGAGTAACAATAGTCGGCCCGTATGGTGAATGGAGCTGTGGAGTCTGATAAGAAGCCACACCTCTTAGTGCCTGACCATGTCTCATGGCTCCAGAAAGCATTGGAGATGAAGGTACAGATTGGGCATATGGGGACTGAGGTCTTTGAAGAGGAGACACATAGGTGGCATCTCTCACTGCCTGGTTTTGCAAAGCTCCAGACAGCATTGGTGAAGAAGGGTGCATAGGCTGCTCATGAGGGGACATTTCCCTTTGTAAAGGCGAAGAATAAGATGCATCTCGTAAGGCTTGATTCTGCAGCGCCCCAGACAGCATGGGAGATGAATGGGCCATAGGCTGCTCACGAGGGGACATTTGCCTTTGTAAAGGAGAAGAATAAGATGCATCTCTTAAGGCTTGATTCTGCAGCGCCCCAGACAACATGGGAGATGAAGGGGCCATAGGCTGCTCATAAAGTGACATTGGTCTCGGCAGTGAGGAAACATAGGATGCATCTCGAATAGCCTGGTTTCGCATTGCACCAGAAAGCAAGGGGATGAGGGAGCATAATGTTCTACATATTCAGAAGCCATCTCACCCATGCCTACCATCTGGGCTGGTTGTGGGCCAAGGGGTGAAGCAAAGGAGGCATGTTGAATAGCCTGGTTCTGCAAAGCACCAGATAACATGGGGGAAGAAGGGGGAACAAACTGATGCAACTGCTCAGTATAAGGATCAGCATAGGGGCCAGACACATACGTTTCTGGTGCATATGTGGGTGGATGGGCAGCTCGAGGGAGCAGGAGAGGGGAGGACTGACGAGAAAGTCGAGGAGAAAGGCGTGGTGATGCAGAATATGGCATGTGTTTCAAGGAGGGCTGTGGAGAGGCAGGAGGCATCCTTCTTATAGACTGCTGTGCCATGAGGGGGCGTCCACGAGCCACAGGGCGAGGAGCAAATCGGCCAGATTCTCTCCTCCGCAGAGGAGCCCGGTGGACCATGTGGGGGGAGTGAAAAGGGAGGAGTTGAGAGAGTCCACTGTGAGAACAGAAGACCTATTGCTTCGAATGGAGGAGGCACGGAAGGGACGCACATTTTGGGTGGGTGGGGGAACTGGGCGCCCTCGGAGACCCATAGGAGAAGGTCTGACAGTACCTAAGGGAACATTTCCCCCCATCCTAGGCCGGGCCAATGGTGTGGGGTCCCTGAGTAGCCGAGTTGAGCGACGAGAGAGGGTAGGAGATGATGGTGAGGGCCTGTGCCCTGCAGGGGATAAACTGCGATAAGACTGGGAGGGAGAGGGAGATGGTCTTCTACTGAGCTGTGGAGAGAGACGGGGGGATGCATGACCAGGAGATAGGGGAGGGGAAGGTGGCCCACGCATCTTCCTCCCTCCAAACGGGCTGCGTGCTGGAGTGGGAGAAGGTGGGGGACTTCGCCTCCTCATGGAAGCACGGGGTGAGGAAGGTGGCGAACGTTGTCTCATTGACGCTCTTGGTGAGGGTGGAGGACTTTGGCGGATCATGGAGGTACGGGGAGAGTGGGGGGGTGAGGGCCCTCGAGCCAGGGGAGATGGTGACCTCTGAGGTTGCATTCTACGACGGGCGATGGGCGAGGCCACGGGGGATGAAGGAGGGGAGATTCGTCTCAACATGACAGATGGGGGTCTTTGGGCATTAATGAACCCACTCCTCATAGATGGTTGTGGTGAGGGGCTGCGTCTCTGTGCAAGCATAGGAGATGGTACTGGGGAAGCCATGGCAGAGGGATGGTGCTGCATCTGTTGGGGTGACATGATGACAGAGCGGCGGGATGGAGTTGGGGAGGCTTGTATGCGACGCGCAGGAAGCGGGGACATACTTGCTTGCTTTATAATCATGGCAGTTGGAGTGGGGATCGACACTGGGCCATAACCCTGTTGGTGTGACATCATCATCGGGTCTGTCATCATTTGCTGCTGAAAGATCACAAAAAAATATGTGCAGAATATATTGAGAATGAAAAAATAATACATTGAGGTAGCAAATGGGGCTAGCAGAGCTGAAAATAGTATTAGGTTGTAGTGACAATTACAGTACAAATGCAGTATTCCAACAAGAGTACTATCATACACCATATGGAAAATAAGTTCTGTAAATAGGTGCTTCTGCTCTGCAATTAAATGTTTTTGTGGACCATATATCAAGGACACATTTCACTGTTGTGAAGTGTGGAAGAACGCATTTTTCTACATGCACCTAATCTTTGCGGAGAAAATGGCATAATCAAGTTCTGTAACAACAAACAACAGTATTAATTGTAAAAATTGCAATATGTAAGACCCCCGCAACGACACCTCTCCACCCCAACATGGTACCTATAACTATTTGTTACATTGCTGGTCATAAACTAAGCATTATGTCAGAAAAGGGTTGCTTCAGGCAACCGACTAAATGTTTCAAGGCCCCCCATTGTCACACACAACCATGCTCCAGGTACTGACGGAACAAGCCAGCTGAGGGTCAACACATCAGCTGCACCTGGCTAGCAGTTGTCACTGCAGTGATCGGGATGTCAGTTGTGTTTTGTCAAAATTAAGCAAACAGGCATATCCAGTGCCAACAGTATCTTCATTTCAATTCATGTTTATGATAATGACAATAATAAGTCACTTGTTATAGATAAGAGGTTGGGATGAATTACTACTGATGGCAAGTAATAAGGAGATGTTCATTGTTTAAACACTTATAATCTGCAAGAGTAGCCACTGATTGGCTGTTGAGTAGCCACAAATATTCCAACTTATTTATATCATAGAAATATCTCCAGTACAAAAAATCGCTCACTGTCTTGTTTTTTTCCCTACTTGAAAGCTAACATTGTGGTGAAATATTTATTTAGTTGTAAGAAATGCTTTGGGTCTCCCTCTAGGCTTGGATGACTTAAAAGAAGGAACTACATGCTGTGTAACTCCAGCTGGTTGCTTGGCGGGGCAGTGGAGGTGTGTTCTCTTTAAAACAGTGGGAATTTGTGTTACATATTAACATGTTCACCCCACATTACAATAGGAATCAGGCTGAAAGTCAGCAAAGTTGCCCTTCTGTGACCCTCTAGCGCTGAGAGACACAACAGATCTAGAATTACCTGTGGTGAAATAATTTCTGGGAGATCATCTGTTGCTGCGCCAACATCATCTGCTGCTGTGGTGACATCATTTGCTGGGGCATCATCTGCTGCTGTGGTGACATCATTTGCTGGGGCATCATCTGCTGCTGTGGTGACAGAATCTGTGATGGCATCATTTGGGCAGACATACCTGTTCTTGTTGTAACATCATTTGCTGCTGTGGTGACATCATCTGTTGCTGTGGTGACATCTGTGGGAGCATCATCATTTGTTCTTGAGGGGGCAACATAGTTTGTTGTTGAGAAAACATCATTTGATCTTGAGGAGACATCATCATTTGTTGTTGTGGTGACATCTTTTGCAGTGGTGACATTGTCTGTGGGGGCATCATCAATTGTTCTTGAGGGGGCAACATATTTTGTTGTTGAGAAAACATCATTTGTTCTAGAGGAGACATCATTATTTGTTGTTGTGGTGACATCATCATTTGTTGTGGTGACATTCCCATTTGCTGCTGTAATGACATCATGTCACCAAGTTGACCTGGTGCAAGAGGAATCTGGTCTTCATACTGTATTTCTGACATATCTTCAAATTCTGGATCAGGTGGCAAAGTAGGTGGAGGGGGCAGGGGCACATCTAGGCGCTCTTTCCCAAATAGACGCACTTGAGGTCTAGGAACTCGAAATGTCATCTCCCCTCCCTGAATTCCACCAGTATCATCTTCATATTGGTCCAACTGGTCAGCATATTGGCCCCCATACAGATCCTGTACCTGACCCATCCCTTGCCCTCCAAAGCCAAAGACCTCCTGGCCTCCTGGTGGGAATCCAATTGCCTGCTGAGAGCTGTAGTCTTGGTAGGGCATGCCAGCATCACTATAATTAAGTTGATGGTCTGGTGAAAATCCCCCCTGCATTCCCATAGTTGCTGCATAAGGGTTCTCATAATATCCTGCCTGTTGGTTGTCATAATAACCCCCTTGTCCATCACTGTAGTGAATTCCTTGACCATTTTCATCATAATAACCATGAGCCTGAGGGTCAAAGAATCCATCTCCCTGATACATTTGGTCCTCACCCATAACATAGTAGTCTAGACCCTCGTCACCGTACATTGCCATTGCCTGTTGTTGCTGGTAACCATAGTAATCAACTTCCTGGTTGTTATAATAGCCTGGGGCAGAGGAATATGGGTTACTGTAGTCCACCAGGCCTTCATCATGAAGACCACCTTCATAATATTCTGAATTTGGATCATAGAGTACTTCTTCCTCATAGTAACCCAAGTCTTGATACTCTGTTCCCCCTGCTCCATTGTCATAGTAGCCGAACTGACCCTGGCTTCCATATGCTGCAGTTGCCTCGTCTCCATAACCACCATAACCATCATTATAGCCTCCATAACCTTTCTGGTGGACTGAATGTTGCTGGTTGTATCCATAAGCCTCCTCCTCCTGCTCATAACCATCATTATGGTAACCATGGAGATAACCTCTGGAGCTGGCTTGTTGCCTATGTGCTCTACGCCCTCGCATTTTTGTGGACAGGAAGCGTTTGGTCAGCCAGTTAGTTGCTGCTGCAACCTTTCCCAGCAACACACTTCTGACTTTGAAGTCGTCAGCAGCCCCGGCACCATTCTTTTTTCCAAATAAGCCTTTGAAGAAGCCCCCCTTCTTTTCATTTGATTCTTTCCCTCCTCCCAGACGAAGCAACATATAGGTTGGCTTTTTCCCACCATTTGCTGCCTCCTTCTCTTTGGCCTCTTTCTCCTTTTTCCTCTTTTTGCTGGCCTTAAACCTCATCATGAATCGAGAGGTGTTCTTCAGCATGGACTTGCGGCGTTTCTTTTTAGCAAGGCGGGTCTTTCTCCTCCCTAACCCCAGGAACAAACGTGATGTACTTTTTAGCTTCTTCCTGCTGTTCCTGCGTCTCTTGAATCCAGAAAATTTCATGAACATTCTGGACATGTTCTTCAGACCTTTCTTTGGGATTTCCTTTATTGGAAGCTGTGGAGCTTCCTCTTTCTTTTTACCTTTTTTCTTCTTTGTATCAGCATCCGATTTCCCTCCTTTATGGCCATCTTTAGATTTCTTTTTGGATTTCCCATAGTCCTCTTCATCATCATCTTCCTCCTCTTCATCTTCATCCTCCTCGTCATCTTCTTCTGAGTATTCCGCATGTCTAGACTTCCCCCCTTCTTTCCCCTAGCCCCCCTGCCTCCTCGCCCCTTCCCTCTCCTGTCATCCTCTGAGTCTTCCTCCTCTTCTTCACTTAACTCTTCATCCTCTTCCTCATCACTCAGGAGCTCCTCTCTTCCTCTTCGGACTCCACTTTCTTACCTTTCCCTTTATCTTTTCCTTTCTTTCCATCATCTTTCCCCTTGGGTGGCTCCTCCTTTCCTTTCTTCCCCCCTTTCTTATCATCCTTCCCCCCTTTCTTATCATCCTTTCCACTTTTCTTATCATCCTTGCTGGGTTTCTTGTCTTTTCCTCCCTTTTTGTCATCCTTTCCTTTTTCCTCCTCTTTCTTTTTTCTGGTTCAGGCTTTCCACCCTTCTTTGCATCCTTCTTGGCGTCTTTCTTGCCGGGCATTTTGACAAGTGGCTAGGAGCACACCATGCCCTCTCTTCAGGATGCAATGCTGTAAACATAAAAACAAACACATATCACATGGAACGCAATACTCAAGTTTAAATAATATAATATGTCTTTTAGTTTTAATATAAAATGTGATGTGATATGTTAAGAAAATATAATCAGGAGTCTGACCTTAAAAAGACTCCCTGGTTTAGATATGCTAGTTGACTTTGTGCCGGCACTATATGCAGGTTCAATATTTGTGTGAGGACAGGTCCATCTGGCCAAAGCAGTTGTACACTGCCCAAATCTGGTCCC